CGAGGCCCGGGACAGGGCCGCCCTCTCACCTGCGGCTCGCACCGCTTGGCGTCGTAGGGCGCCGGGGGCGCAGGCCGCCGCTCGGGCCCCTCCTCGAACACGGAGTCCTCAAACTCGCAGCCGATCAGCCAGCCCTCCGGCTCCATGGCGCGGCCGGGCAACGAGCCGCCGCGGCCTAGAGCGGCGCCCGCGCGGCACGCTGGGACGCGTAGTCTCTGGGGCGGCGGGGGCGGGCCCGGCCGAGCCGACCTCCGGAAGTCGGGACGCGCGGTCTGGGGCTCGCGGGGCGGCTTCAAACTCTGAGGTAACGCTTTCGAAACCGCCGACGGTCAAGGTCCTGAGTTCGATTCCCGACACAAAAAAACCGCCGACAGGACTCCTGGCACTGTTAAGGCGACTTACTGCTCTATGCATTCTCTGTCTTCCCGACCTTGCGAAAGGCACAGTGACCCCGCCTCCAGGCTGAGACTGGACCCTGAGTGTGAAGGAACTTCTCGAATCCGTTTGCAGCTGGCCGAAGAACCGAGGAATCACGGAGTCGCTCACTTATAAAACAAAGCGGAAAGGTGCTCTGGGCGCTTGGGGAGCACTCGTTCCGCCGAGCGAAGCCCGAATCCGGGATTGTAAGCCGAACAGGGTTGGAATTTTATACCGCCAACCTCTCCCTGGACTCAGCCTCCTGTCTCAGTCTCCTGACTGCTGGGATTACAGGCATGCGCCACCACCCCCGGCTGTACTACTTTTCCCCAAAGACAAATAAGGAACCGACACCCTGGAGGGCAACTGGTAACCACCTCTAACCTGGCTTTTTGTGCTCCACCATATGCGGTCCCAGCCCCTTCCCTAAACCCTCAACAGGCAGACACTGTTGACTCGGTCCTGGCCGGCGTTGCACTGCACACTGCCGCGTCACACCGCGGGTAGTGGAGTTTTCACCGGATACCGCGGCCCAGCTCCTGCTCTCACCGCCTCATCCGCAGGTTCAAACTCCAGCGCTCTGCTGATTACTCCGCAAAGCTAGAACTACCCCTTCATCCAACAGCCTCAGACAGGAAGTTCCACCCGGATAGCCAGAGACGTTAGCCAGCGATGAATTCAACCAGAGGGCTTTTTTTTCCCTTTTCCTTCTTTTTCGATTTTAAAGACAGAACCCATTGTCTTCGCACTGAACTATATGCGCAGCCCTCTTTTTATTTTTATTTTCATTATTTCATTAATGTGCTAAATTGTCCAGGCTGAGCACAGACTTGTGACTCTCCTGGCTCAGCCTCCCAAAGTGCTGGAATTACAAGCACACACTATCACACCTAGCTCAGAGAAGGTCCATTTTTAAAAAATATTTGTTTTCCCATCACAAATTTAATTATTCTTACTAGGAAACATTGGGAGAGTATAGAAAAATAGAAGAAAAAAACAATTTATAGTATCACCTAACAGAAATGGGGTCCAAAGAAGGTAGAGATGGGTCCTCTTAATTCAAATAAGCCCCATCCTAACAGAAATGGCAAGACAGCCTAGTGTCAAGAGACAGATCTGGGCACCGGTTAAAGTAATATATATTTATTTTGCCTGTCAGACAGCAAGTGGGTAAACATGTACATTACAAATTCTTGCTCCAAAGCCAAGCATGGTGGCACACACCTGTAATGCCAACAGTCAGGAGGCTGAGGCAGGAGGATTGCTGTTAGTTCAAGGACTACATAGTGAGTTCAAGGATAGCCATGGACTACATGGGGAGACCCCGTCTCAAAAAGAAAATTCTTGCTCCGGGTGTAGAGGAAGAGCAAAGCAAAGGCAGGCAAGGAGGATAGGATTTCCTTTACATTTTCATTTTAAAGGCTGTTTGGCCTTGGAATTCAACACTGTCCTGTTCAGAGAGCTCTGGGCCCAGCCTCCTCCTAACACAAGAACCACCTGAGCTCCATTCTGCTGAAATTGCAGGGAGTCCTGCTGTGGCAGCTTATGATGGTGCTTTTTGCAATATGGACTCAAATTCCTGGGCTAAGAGGTTTCCAGCCTTTTTATCATCAGTCTGTTTCTATGTATTTATAAGACTTTGCATTTTGTCTGAGGTGCCTGTTTGAGTTTCCCTTCACAAAGCAGACATCACCCCACCAGGCAATCCCCTTCCTTTGTCCTGACACCCCTGCTTCTGCCTGTTCACTATGCACTAGGCAGAATGTGTACTGTCAGGGGCAAAGATGGTGTCTTTATCTTTCTTGTAAACTCAGCCCTCAGGCAGGGCTTGGCCCAGAGCATCTCGTTCAGTGCCTATTGGATGGCAGGTGAATGACACGGAGGAGCACTAGGATATGGCAGAAGGAGCACTTCTCAGTCTAGGTCACACATTCACATCCTGTCTGTGAGCTGAGGAGGGAAGGAACCAACACTCCTCTGTGAACGTTCCCCAAATCAAGATGGTGAACCCTCAACTCCAGGACCTCACCTGAGTCCTGCCTCCAGGTAACTACTGTTCTGAACCAGCCTCCCACATTCTACCCTGCAGTTTCCCTCCTCCTGCAAGCTTCCCTGCCCTGATCAGATCCCAGCTCACCATTTCCTTTGCTGGGAACACCGCACGCGCGCACACACACGTGACCTTCAACCTTTCCTGAATCTTCAGCCTGGCTCACATCTGGGTTCAACTAGCACCAGGTGCTTCTCTCTACCAGAATGTTCTACAATCCTGTAGCTGATGTCCACATTCACTTTTTTGTCCCGTGCTCACTTGTCCATCAACCCAGTAGACTACGAGCTCATTCTAGGAAGGCACTGGGTCACTCACGCCTATGTCTACCACTAAGCACAGTATCTGGCACAGTCACCCTCGCTCCATGTTTACTGAGTGACTCTCTACACTGCGTTCCTATAGGGCCTGGATTGACCCAGTATTCTGGTTTAAATCTAAAATGTCTCTAAACTAGGCATGGGGGCACATGCCTATAATGCCAGCACTAGGGAGGTGAGGCAGGACAATTGCAGTGAATTCAAGGCCAGCCTGGGCTACATAGCACATTCAAGGCCACTTTGAACTACATAGCAAAACCCTGTCTCCAAAAAAAGAAGTCTCAAAAATGTCTCCTGTATTCGTTCTGATGTGGGTCTTTTAGAAGGTAATCAGATTGTGAGGTCCCCAGCTTCATAGGTAGATTAAGCCATTGATCAGATAATAATTTAATGGCATTATTGGGAAGTAATAAAAATTTAGAAATCAGGGCCTAGTTGAAAGGAATAGGTCATAGGAGTGTGACCTTGGGGGCTGTATCTTGTCTGTGGCCCCTTCCTCTCTGGTTCTATCCATTCCTTTCCGGCTCTTTCCATCTCTTTTCGCTTCCTGGCAGCCATAAAGCCATCACCTTTGCTCCACCAGAGCTTTCAGCTATGTTGTTTCTGCCTCGCTACAAGCCTAAAGCAATGCAGCCAGCTACCCATGGCTAAAACTTTTGAAACTGTGAGCCCAAATAAATCCTTCCTTTTTTAAGTTTCTTACCTCAGGTACTTTCTTACAGTAAGGAAAAGTGAACACTGAAAATTGGTACCATTAGTGAGATCTTGATTTCCAAGGTGCCCACAAGACAGCTTTCCTACTGTTCTGTGCAAAATACTTGGTGGCTTCTTAATGGCACTAATCTGTTCAGTAACCACGTGTTCCATGGCCTCAACTGTACATATGCTTCTTTTCTGGACAAGCTGCAAGTTTCTCAAATTTGTCAGTTCTACTTTTTGCTCCCAGTGCTCAGTATAAAAGCAGTCAGCCAGAAATACACATGCAACCGCCTGAATGCTATGCTACCTTGAAATTTCCTCCACCAGAATAATTAGTGCATTGCCTTTAAATAGCCTCACACAGTAATACAGCATGGATAGAATGTAGACAAATTCTTTGTCCAAATATAACACTTAAGGCCTCCAGCCCAATTCCCAATAGAATCATTTTCATCTCAAACCTCATAAGCACATGAACCTTCCCTATCTGTATTCCTGTCAGCATTCTGATCCACCAGGATCATCTATTAAGCTTCACTTACAATACCCTGAGCTTTTTCTCACCTACATTTCCAAATTCCTCCCACAAAAAAGTTCCAAAGGCTTTTAAACCACATGTGTAGTCACAACAACAACCCCACTTCTGGTACCAATCTTTTGTATTACTCAACTTTTTGTCGCTGACAAAATACTTGAGATTAAACAACTTAAAGAAGAAAAGATTTAGTTTGACTTACAGCTTCAGAGGTTTTATTCCATGGTTAAATGGCTCCATTGCTTTAGGCCTGCAGTGAGGCAGAAACATCATGGTGGAAGCGCATGGTAGGGCAAAACTACTCATGGCATGGCAGCCAGGCAGCAAGGAGAGTAAAAAGGATCCAAAGAGCGAGCCAACGCAAAACATAATTCCCCATAACTAGCTTCCTTCAGTGATGCTCCAACTTCTCATATCCTAATAATATCCTGAAATTATAAATCAATGGATTAAGCCACTGATGAACTTAAGAATCCTCATGAGCCAGTGAATTTCAAAAGCAAGTCCTCTGAACACATACTTTTAGGGGGACATTTTACACCCAAACCACATACATACAGTATTCATTTATCCATCCCATGAATAATGCAATGTGTCCAATGGCCTTCTCTGCACTGTGAGCCAAGGATATGCCACTCATGGTCTCTGCTATCAGAAAACCCATACTAAGATAAGGAAGCAGATAATAAACATATAAACAAGCAAATTATTTAATTACAGATTGTAGTGATGTGCTATGATAGACAATTACAGGGCTTCAAAGTCTAAAACACCTTCTGTATGAAACCACATCGCTTCCTTCCTTACCCATGCAGTTTTCCTCTGAGCAACCATTCTCAGCTTCCATAGATATTTGTAAATATTCTTTTCCACCATTTTCTGTTCCTTTTGAGCAAAATTTATCCTTATACTACTGGCATGAGAACCATCCCACTAATTTTCATGTTTTTTAACCTATATATATTAATATTTTGAGCTCAGATTTCCTATATTCTATAAATTGACTCAAATAAAATTTGTTGTATATCTACTAAAGACAAGTACTGTTTTCAGAGTGAAAGATATAGTGATAAATAAGATCAGATCCTTGCTCTTGTGGAATTTTTTAGTGGAGAGACAATAAACAATCCATGTTCTCAGTTGTGGAGTCCTAGTCCCTGGTTCCACAGCAAGCATGGAAGACCTTATTTACAAAG